GGAGACACGTCAGACTCAATTACCTGCTGCTGTTTTTGCTCACAGCGGGAAGTGCTGATGTTTCTGTGGGGGTGGGGCATATGAAAGTAAAGCAGAGGCCATGCTCTTTGAAAGCCTGCTTTCACACATGCACTGCAGCCCTAAACTTGCAGCCCTGCCCCCCACCCCTCTGAAGGAGGTCCACACGTCCAACACAGTCGACATTAAGCAGTTTACCTGCTGTCTGCGTGTGTCCAGTTGTGCCGATTTGGGTCAATGTGAGAATAAGAAAAGTTGACAGGTGAGTTCATAGTAAGGGGGCATCATGTGTCTGGGCTCCTGCGTGTTCCCAGGCAACCCCTTTGCATTGACTTAATAGAATATTTCCAGGACTGCGAATGAAAGTAACGCATCGTGAGAAAAGGCAACATCACATCAGGCGATGTCCGGATCTAAACGCACCGACACTGTCATCTCATGCGACCGTTTTCTAGAGTTTGATTGAAATATTTGAACACTGTGTTGAGGGCAGTTGCACCTTTGATGGCTTAAGACAGACTTACGCAGACTACCAGCATTTTTGAACACCTACTTTTCCAGGTAATAACTGAAATGTACATAGTGACATGTCTCAGTGTCATCTAAAATAAACATAGAAAGTAAATCTTAAAAAAAAAAGCATAAATATGAAAAACAAACGGTATATTCAATCTAAGCTTAAACTTTAAAATCATTCAGCAGCTGAACGCACAGTGTTGTTTGGAAAGTTTTGCCCTGCATTTGCAGAAGTTCCACCAAATCTTTCACACGTGTAAGATGCTTTGCAGTGCTGGTCTTCTCCTTCTCATTTTCTCACCATTATAATAGAAATACACAGTACAATTTTACCCTGGCAGTTACTTACATGTTTGCTTGTGTTATTCCCATGAATGTTAAAAATGTTGTTTTTTTAAAATGTTACTTTATTGCTTAATTAACTTTATTGAAATACAAATACAACTCCATACAACATTTAGAGTTGAGTTGTCTCTCATTTGTGATGTTTTTTCGGCAGTAGAGCAGTATAGCCAGTGGCAAAGAGTACTCGCTTTGTTTCAACACAGTCATTAAAACAGCTTTTTGATAATCACGAATAATGAGGGCCTTCTCTTTGAGATGCTGGTGTGAACTGATTGGCCTCATTATTTGAATTAAACCAAATGTTCTTCAGGTTTGAAGAGGACTGTGGTTGAACATTAAGTGTGATAATGGCTACCTGCTGCAGAGTGTGCTTTGGGGAAGCCTTTTTTCTTTTCCCCACGTTGTGCAGTAGATATTTAAACTTTGCTCAAAAGGTGCCATATAAGGTCCTCTAAATATATTTTCTTTTTCTTTTTTTGCTGTTACTCATGCACAGGTAAAATCAGATGAGAAAGCAGCAACA